TTAAGATCAACTTTTCACATTTTACAGTGTACGATTAAACTTTCGAGAATAAAGTAGGTCTACACAGTTTATTCATTTGAAATTGAACTTGGATGTGAAGCGATGCGGTTAGCTGGTCCAGATTAAACTGTCGTATCAGCGGTTTTACAGACTCCTACCGTCCACCAGTCATGTTGTCTCCTGTCCTAATGCTCCATCACATTTTAAATCTGCTGCACAGTGAATATGGAACTGAAATCAAATCATTAATCAGCTCTAGTTTCCGTTAAGTGAACACTAAAGACTGAACGGCGGCACCCAGAGATTCATATCTGCAGAACTACTGACCAGGTCACCTCCAGCCTCACCTGTACTTTGTGTTTACAGCCAGTTATCACGCGTTGTCACGGTAACCTGATAACCTCAGGTTGTAAACGTGAAAAACTTTGACATCGACACGTTAGCATTACCACTGTTAGCATGCTAATATTTGTAACTGGTAACCATGGCTACCGGGCAGCCTCACAGAGCTGCTGGCGTGTCTGGTGTGAGAACCACATCATATCCTGAGTTTCTATTTTATTACAAGTTTTATTTCACGATATGTGTCACGAAACTTGAAGCTCTTCTTTTTTTTAAAGTATTTTCTCAACTTAGTAGAAAATGTTGTGCTTGGTGGCAAAAAGAGGAAAAAAGAGGAGCGTGTGTTTTTCCTTCTCTTTGAGCCGCCGTCAGTCATAAATAACATCCTGATGGTGAGTCCAGTTCACCGCCACTGGCTGAAGTGCTGGTTAGACGACTGCATGCTGCTCAGACCAAAGTTATTTATCATCATTTTGTTTTGTTATTAAACTTTTTATGTGAATCAGAAACAGGATTCTGTACGTATCATCACGTCCAGTGTTCAAACCATGTGATAAAATTAACATAAAAATAATAAAAATCATAGTAATGATACAATAACACCAGTATTCATATATGAACATGTATATCTATATGTATATATACGCCTACATGCCCACGCATACACACCAACATCCAGAGATGTATATGAACACCCGCCCTCACCCATCTGCCCTCACGTAGACACACCTGTACCCAGTTGGACACATATACACACCGGCACATATACACACACTCACATACATGAAGTGGTGATAGTAGATGATCAAGAGGGAAAAAAGTATAATTTAAACAATCTCTACGGCGGTGTTGTCAAACATCTACTCAGAAGGTATTATTAGAAAATGAGAAATAATTGATAAAGTCTTTTATGATCATTTTTTGTGAATAATTTTTGTTTTGCTCTCAAAAATTCTTAAAAAAAATAAATAAAAAATATATATATCTATATTTTTGCTGCAGTCTGTTACAGAACCCCACCCTCCCTCCATCAGGACAACAGGCGTCTCTGGACTTTATTTAAAATAATATGTCGTGTTACATTTTGCCTTCTCAAACAGATGTACATTTTGACATTGCACTCGTCCATATTTGCTAAAAGTTTGATGATTTTAGTTTTCCTGTGTGACTTTGGACTTCCGATCCGTTCCTTCCTCCCTCCGGAGAACCGAGCCACAGCCAACGCATCACGCTGTTTGTTTAGTGAGAGGTCTCCATTTCTCACTGTTTCTCACAGAGTTTGGATCAAAAACAGAACAATAAGCAGCACAAAGAAGACCGTGTGATACGAAACCTCTCTGCTCGGTTATTTTTAGTTTTTTAAATCCTCAGAATCCCTCCGTTGTCCTCATTTAGTGTCACACTGATATTAGGGTGAAGAATTAACAGAGAACGTGGTGCTGAGGGGACAGACTCCTGGTTTGACTTTACAAAATGTAGTTTTCTGTTATTGTACCGGCAGACATACAGGATGTGACTGACACACCACAAGGTGCATTTCTCATAAAATAAAGGTGTGTTTGGTCCGAGCTGCTGTCAGCTGGTCGACAGCTTCAGAACCGCTGCACATCTTCCCAACATCAGATGACTTCCTCCTCTGGCTGTGATTGGCCAGCTGTGGTGGGACACAGTTCAAAGTGGCTCTTTATCTTTATCTTTATCTTATCTTTTACCTGTTCGTCCCAGAGTAACCGGCCGGCGCGTCCACAGCGCCGTGACATCATCATCACATGACGACTCCTGTATGACTGTAGCTCTGCCTCTGAGCTCATCTCTTCATTTTATTTCATTTTCTGTCCAAATCTTTCCTTTTTCTTTGTTTCTTTGGAGGTTTTGTTAAAATATTATGACACAAATTTATGACCGTGAATTCTTTGTGGCACCTTTCACCAGAATCCCCACCAGTCGGTGTTTGTCTAGACGGTCTGAAACCCGCTGGCTGTTCTCTGTCTCTACATCAGGACCGGCTTCCCCTGAACCAGGAGGACAGCAAATTATGTTAAAAGACATCAAAAGAATTTAAGACAAACGATGCAAACACACAATAAATTAAATAAAGCTTCACTACATGCACGTCAGATACGCGTCCTGTGGCCGGTCCGTTCATTGATTTATCGAGCAGCGGGGGCATCTGTGATACGCCGAGGCAGAGTTATGTGATCAGGCCGTTTGTCTGTCTGTCAGCAGGATTACTGAACAACTAGCGAGCTGAATATCATGAGGCTTGTAGGAGAGACGAAGCGCCGGCACAGAGAGAACTCATTCAATTCCACTGCAGATCCAGACCACTTTTGTTAAAATTGCGAGATGGAACATCGGCCTTGGCGGAAGATGCGCTCTCTGAGAACGCTTTTACTTCTTTTCTGTGAAGCACAAAGAGCTTTTTTTACTCTGGCTGCCTTAAAAGTCACTTTCACCGTAAAGTGCACGTGCAGGAATTTGAGATGTGACGGCAGAGACGGACGCATAGATGCACATATCCACCATACTGTGTTGTTTCTGGGGTGGTTTTTGGCCCTCTGTGTTTGGTTCCTGCTCTCTAACTGTACGTTTGCCCTCTCTCCGTCATCCATCAAGTGCAGGACAGGAGTTTATTCCCTCACTGGCCAATTCAGTGCATTAGGCGCCGACCGGCCCACGGAAGTCAATAAGTGCTTTGTTTGTTTAATGCTCGCTGCTCGCTGTCCGTGCATCTCCCAGTTCCTCCCCTTCACACGCACACTGTTAACATTTGCCTCGTCTGACGTCCGGACAGAAAATCTATGCGTCCAATAGTCTCGCGCCCACTTTGTCAACAGCCCCCCCCCCTCCCCTCCAGAGGTGTGTTTGAGCAGCGAGGCGGCAGCAGCGCTGCTGAATAGGTGTGACCTTGTGTGCTGTTATTTCTGTCTGGCTCAACTCTGACCTCCATCTGCTTCTCATATTCTTTCATCCCTTCAGGCAGACTGTCGATAGCAGCTCTCCCGCCGCTGTTTGTTTCCACGCCGACCCCGTCTTTCTCTCTCCACCTCCTCTGGCTCTACCTGTGTCTCACGCCCATGCTTTCTGTCCTCGTGTTGCCTTTAATGTTTCGCTTCCTCTTGAGCGCCGCCGTGTCTGACCTGCCGCCCTCCTCTCCCCCTCGCAGATCATCGCGCCCGGCGGAAGAGCATAGCCACCGGGAAGCAGCCCAGCATGGAGGTCCCTCCCACTGCCCCCCTTCAACCCTTCCGACAATCCGTGAGTAACCCCCCCTGCCCCCGGCCTCGCTCGCTGCCTCCATCCCTCTCGCTGTCCCTCCTCCCTCCTCCCGCCCTGGGCCCACCTCACACCTGTGGCCGCCGGGCCAGCGGCACCCCGCCTCACCCCTTCCCCCTCTCCCTGGCCGTCTCCCCCTCCCTCGCCTTTTGCCAGCAGCAGCAGCAGCCGCAGCAGCAAAAGGGCTCCAAGAAAGGGCCCGGCACGCCCCCTTTGCCCCGCTCGCTGCCCCTCTCCCCCTCCCTGTCCTTCACCCTGCCCCACTCGCCTGCCGCCTCCTCCTCCTCCCCCCCCTTCTTGTACTGGGGCGGAGACTGGAGGGCTGCCGGTTCGAGTCCAGTGGCGGGAGGAGCGTTTATTGCACCACTGCCCCCTGTTGAGGTATGTGACACAAACATGGCTGAAGCAGAGACACACCACAGATACCCACACCACAGCGACGGCTCCGGTCCACACGGTTATGAACATGAGTCCATCATGCCAGCGTCATGCCAGCGTCATGCCAGCGTGTGCACGTTTGATCAGGTTCATCTATACACTGATTATCTCCAGATGGAGGCTGTACATCAGGGGTCTCGAACTCCGGTCCTCGAGGACCGGAGTTCGAGACCCCTGCTGTACATCTTTTCTTAACATTCTAATCAGCAGTTTTAGAAATCAGCCGTCAGACTCTTGAACGAACTCGAGTTGTGCAGCAGACGCAGTCGTCTGCATTCATGTGTGTTTGTTGCGTCGTCGTTGTGCGGCGCTGCGGTTTAAGTGCACTTTCATGTTTGTTGCGTTAAGGACATAAAATAAGGAGGAGGAGGAGGAGGAGCGATGTGGAGGAGGAGGAGGAAGCTGGACCTCCCGGCACACAACAAACTGAAGTTACAGTCTGATCATAAACACGTGTAATGAACCAGAGCACAGAAAGGATATCAGTAAAAAACATACGATCAGAGAAGAAAAACGTTGCCCATAACTTCATATAATGTGCTAAAATATACGTTATTAATGTTCTGACAGCTGGACTACAGGTTGACTGATACGAACAGAACTCCAGGAGAACATCTTCTGAAACCTGTTGCCCATAACGTTGGAATCATTTTCTTTTCAGACCCACTCCTCTTTTTATTTCTGTTTAAACACATCAGCAGTCACTGTGACCAGGTCCACTGATCACATCCTGAGTCCCCGTTAGCAGGTGGACCCAGTTCTGGCTTCAGGATGTGACTGCAGACTGGGACGTCCTGAACAGTGACTCCATCAACCAGCTGGTGGACAGAACAGCACCATGTCTGAACGTATTGATCGTATTGATCCGTATCAGGGGGCCAGGCTCAGTATCAGTGACGTTTAAAGAGTAATACTGGACATTATAATAATAATAACAATAATAATAATAATAATTAGAATACATTTTGTTCATAGAGAACTTTTCACAACATGTTACAAAGAGCTTTTCAATAAAATGAAATAAATGTAAAACTGAACTAGAAGCACACAGAACAGAACCAGAAGCTATAAAACGTGACTTAAAACTTAAAATCAGGAAAAGCTCTCCGATAATTAAATTTGCAAAAGTTAATTACGGCTTGATTTTTTTCTGTGATGTGTGTTGTGTGTATGTTAGGATATCAATAAAGCTTTGAGAAGATATAAACTTTATCAAGAATAAATCATGTTGTCACTGCACGAGAAGAGGTTAAAAAACAACAATTATTCCAACTTTATGGGGAATCTTGGTAAGAAGAGTGATTCAGGGTTTTGATCTTCTGTCCGTCCATGATGCGACGTTTCATTGGAAAACTTTAACGAAGCCTAATCTTGATTTTTCATCCAAATCATTTTAATCCACGTGTGATTTAAGAAATGAACCAAATAAACTGTTTGCACCAGATTCTGTTAAAAAGAAGAAAAATGTATTTAAAAAAATAAATAAAATAAATCTGAAGAGGCTTTCTGGCTGAACTGCAGGCAGTGTTTCTACAAGCAAATAAAACGTCAGCAGTAAACTGTCTCTGCTATCCAGAGCAAACATTATTCCACATGTGGTCACACCTGGAGGCGCTTGTTCTACATGTTGATTCCAAGTTTTTTCAAGTTTAGCAAAAGAAATAATCCAAGAAATCTCATCCTTTATGGCAGAGCGCCTGTCCTGCTGTGTTTTCTCCACAGAGCACTTTGCATCCTCATGAACCCACAGGAAGTAGAAAATGTGACACTACAAAATAAAACCCCAGAAGCTGCCTCCAGAGGCTTAAAAGAGAACTTTCCTGTATTTAGTGTTTGATGTGTGACCGGATTTTTAAAAATAATCTGGAATCAGTTAAAGACACGACAGCGACGCTGGATTTGGAAACCAGTCGACCTTTTAACGGCGAGCACTCTGTCACTGGTTTGGGATGAACTTTATGAATCAGTTGTGCTGATGTGATGTGAGATGAAAGAAGAAATGAGGCAGTAATCAAATCCTCAGCTCGGTTCATCAGGAGTCTGACGGCACCGTTTCATCGAACGCTGAGACCCGACAGATCTGTTTGGAACCGTTAGAACGTGTTGGCAGAGCAGCATCCTGGTTTATGAGCAAAGTAAATGTGAGTTGTAGTAAACGGGCTCAAACGCAGCACACGCCTGGTGTGATGGTTTAACGTGAGTGACGAGCGGCGGCGTGACGACGTGCTGTCACTGCTGCTTCTGGGATCATCATGTCTGCTCGTGCAGCAGCCTCAGTCCCAGAAGGAGCTGGCAGCACAACACAAATAATCTGTTTATTCTTTTATTCATGGCGACGCAAACTCAATCACAAGGTATCAGAAATGTGAACGTAGAAGGGCTTGAAGGATGGATGGGTGTCTTATTAAGTTTGTGCCAGTGGCCTGCGCTGCCCACCGCCTTGTTATTATTCCTGCTGGTGTTTGCACACTGTTACTGTAGCTGCAAACGCCTTTCCTTCCTTCAGGGAAACTGTTTGCTGCTCATTCACTGCTGCCGTATGAAAAACAGCCTCGGCATACTTAAAAACTGCACAAGCCGGATAATCCATTAGAGGAAATGTGAAGCCTCAGCGTGGTTTGGTCGGAGGTTTTGTGTTTCATCATTATTTCATAGTGGCTGAGACGAGGGTTTCCGTATCAATATTTCAGGCTCTCTGATTGGATAAGCAGGCCTGGAGGTCAGGAGCAGCGTCCCGGTGTAAACACAGCACGCAAACAAAACCTGGTTTCATGTAAATCACTGGACGCTGACAGGAAGAAGTATAAATATTAGAAATAAATGGCCAGAACGTGTTGCTGTACACAGAGCTGATGTGGCAGAACCCGTCCTCTGGGCAGCAGGTTAACGTATCGCTCCCTAAAAATAGCCACCGAGGCTCGTCGGTGCACGTTCAGCGGATCAGGACTGCAGCCAATCAGGCTTCAGTCTCTCCTGTAAGCCGCGATGTTGAACGTCTATAAGAGCCTTCAGTCTAGAAGGCAGCTCCTTCACACACGCCTGGAGGCGAGCGTGTCTTATTAAAGCATCATCCAGGTAATTTCAACCTGGCTTATGTCCTATAAATGTACCGACAGCGGCTCTGTGGGTCATGTTGACTCGGCGCTGCTGGTCTAGAGATGCAGGGAACCAAAGACTTATGCAGAGCAGCAGGTTACAGGGCTGGAGTCCACCTACTGCAGTCCTTCAACCGTTGTGTTGGTGGCAGGAGGAACATCTGCACCGTGGTTGAACTAAATGAGCCACAGTGAACTGGACCAGCCAGCCCATCAACCTGAATGAATCAGCACAATAAAAAACTAGTATTTAAGTCATTTGTTATTTAATTTTGACAGTCCCGATCATGAAGCTGTTTCTTGGCTTTAACGGGAGACGAGGTCAGTGCTGCTGCTGACCGGAGCTGTTATAGAACCGCTATTGGACCAGAACTTATTGAAATGAGCCACGTCTGATATACTCACAGTCAGAGCCTTGAGAGGTGAAAGTGTGCAGAAAGTGAACACAGACGAGTTGTTCTGCTGCTCTCTGTTAGCTGCTGTTGAGCTGTCATGTTTACGCTCAGCTTTTTGGCCGTCGGTCGAAGCAAAATGCAGCCACGCTGACAACGTTTCTGAAATGCTGCTGAGTAACGTCCAGTAAACGTTAATAGGCTGGACGCAGAGGTCTCCATCAGGTCGGGCCAGTTCAGAGTGTTCACAGGTAGTCTGCTCCTCCAGGTGACAGGAACAATGGTCTAGTCCTGGAAGGCTGTGACTCAGCACATTTTTGGTGCATTTGTGAAACAGAAGAGTCAAGAGAAGGTTTCTGTCCTTGCAGCTCTACTGTGGTTCTGTCTGTTCTCATAGATTAATCGTATCAACTGGACCTGTTTGAGTTCCTTGAAGACGTTCCTCATCCAGGAGGCTTCATCAGCTCTGACCGACTAGTTCCACATACTGATATCCTGAAGGAGACGTTAACACCTGAGTGTCACCTGGGGGTTTGTTGCTCCTCCCCCTCGTTATGTGACTCGTTAGTGCTCCCCCTGCCACCATGGGGTTCGTTAGGGTCTCTGTGGCTCGGTGTGGATGTGGTTCAGACCTGATGAAGCCTCTTGGATGAGAGGTGGAACATCTTCAGGCGAGTCCAGCTGCTTCGACTAAACTCAGAGGAGAACCACGAGCTGGAGGACTGAGGACCTTCACAGACTCGTTACTGTCTCGTTACCGCTGATGCCTTCATGTGTAATCGGCATCTCACGGCTGTAGCTGATAAAGTTTGAGCTCGTTTTAAGCGTCTGATGTATGTCTGTGTGATTTAAAGTAATATGAGCAGCGTCTATAACTGTGACAACCCGTTGATGAAGAGACCGTGGTGGAGCAGAACCACAGCACAGCACCAGAACCAACGTCTGGTTTAGCTTCAGCAGTAGTGTTGATTGATGGAGCAGCCTCCTACCAACACGTCACGGCGCCGCTGGATGTTTTCCAGCAGCGTAGCGTCTTCTTTAGCCTCTGCACAATTTCATCTCATGTTTGACAATTAGTGTTTTAAAAATTAATATCTAATTACGTGCAGCTATTAAACGTGGACGGCAGCAAATGAGCTGAAACACTAAACGACAGCAGTAACCTGAAACGAACCCACAGCGCCTGCATGCCGACGCAGAGTCCACGGCCCGTCCTTCTCCTGGTACCGCCCTTTGTTGAGCTTTATTTTGGGTCGGGCTTTTCTCTCCCTCCTCTGTATTGAATACTTTTACTTTTTGAGACTCGGAGTGTCAGACGGAGCGGCTAATCAAATCAGATTTAGTCATGCAGGCTATTAGCTTGGAACCAGCAGATGGAGCCAAGTCTTTAGTCATATCCTCAAGACAGGCTTCAAAGCCATTTGACTCACGCCAGCTGACAAGGCGTCGTTTCCCCCGAGTCACTCTGCCGCTGAATGATGCTGTTGTGCTGCAGGTGTATGAATGGCACCGCCGAGGCTCTCCACCTAAAGCTGGACGGGCGGCGCTTCTTCCAGGAACAGCGGGAGACGTTTCACCCGCGTCCTGAGACGTCTGAAGTTAGTTTCACAGCGAATGTGTTCAGATTCAAACCGTGAAATCAGGTTTGACATTTGAGCTGCAAACACGCTGACGTCACTGTTTTAAATTTTAAAATGCTGTTAGTGAGCCGAGGAAATCAAATGTTCCCGAAAATGTCAAAAAGATGTGAAAATGCCAGTTAGGATCTTCAGCCGATTGCTTTCTCTGCATGACCGACTTCTGACCCCAAAGAAAATTCATTTGCATCGAGGGAGGAAATATTTTTTCTTTTAAAAACGGCTTCAGACGATGAACAGATGATGACGATGCTGCTGCATTAGTCGTCTTCCTGCTCCAGATAGATCACTCTTTAGTGCAGTTTCGCTTCCTTCCAGGAGGTTTTTGAGGAGCTGTAGTGAAACCTGAACTCCTGGTCGTGAAACAAACGTTTTTTTAAAGAGCAGCTTGACAGGTTGGCGACTCCGGTGAGTTCATGTGCCGCCAAAAGTGGATTGTTTTTAAAAGTGAGCCCACATACGTACTAAAATAGTCTTTAGAGTAGTTTGGGTTCACAGAACACAGAGCAACAGCAGAGAGAGCAGCGAGCCGAACCAGTCCAACACCAGGACCTGGAGGCCGTCACGGCGCTGAAGGTGTCAAACATGTAAATTCAGATGCTCTTGACGGACCTCTGCTTTCTAACGGTGAGCCTGCTGGGTGACACCGAGACCAGCAGCAGATTAAGACTTGGAGAAATAATTGCCTTCAGTGAGTAATTAAGAAGTGAGGAGACGCCATGTTGAGCCGGCAGAGGTCCTGATGACGGCTGATAGGTTCTGATAACATGAGCAGAACCGGTGCTGCGTCTCATTACTGTGGAGTTTGAGTTATTTATCAGAGTGTAACACAACTAGTGGAGCTGTGGAGCTTCCTGTGAGGATCAGCTGGTATCAGTCACGTCCAGCATGGATCAACAAGATGTTTAGAAGTTTGTGTTTTCATCTGGGATCACTTCCAGAACCAGAAGCTGCACGGTCCTGACCTCCACATCCCATCCAGAACTTCCTCGTCT